AAAAAAGGAAAGGGACAAAAAAAAGGCTTTTAGCTTGCTCAGCAAGATGAAGAATAAGCCCCGTCTCTTGATTGCTCGGGAAACGGAGTGTGGTTTCGTGGTAGGGAATAACTATTCCGTAGAGACAAATGGGAGGAGATGAAGGAAGCCCCAGGTCAGTGCAAACATGCGACTTGTCTCGGTTTTTCTTTTACGACGAATCGAGTGGAAATCCGGGGACGCCGGTAGCAAGAAGAAATGAAGGCGCGGTCGAGGCGTTGATGCTATCAAGCTAGAAGGACCGAGAACGAGTACTCGGTCGACTCGTTGATGAAAGGAAATGAGGCTTCCTAGTCAGTATCCAGGCAAGAGGGATGAGGTATGGGAAGGTTACAGGCTACAGCAATGTCGTTGTGGGTAATGCCCTGATTTCCAGCAGCACTCTTTCGTAGGTTACAGCGGCAGTTTTGTGAGTTATAGCGGCCTAAAACATTAGGTATAGCACCGTTGCCCTATAATCCACGCCTAAACCCGCCCAAGTCAGACTTGTTTCAGGAGCCAGCAGGGGCTCAGCCTGCTGGAACTTTCCCCAGGCTCCCCCGCCCCGGCAACCCCACAGCGGCCTCTTCCCCGGACCGCCATCTATTAAGGTACAGTCTTAGGAATGCACGAAACCGACGAGTGCAAGCGAAAATATCAAGTATTGGTAAGGGATGTCCGTACAAAGTAATGAAATTATGCTGCCACAGGATTTCGTCTCAGACATTGCCTATCCGTCTTGCCGTACTCTACATTATGTCTTTCCTCGCTGCAATCCTCAAGTCTGATGCTCGCCGGATGCAAGCAGAGGTACGTTGTACGTTGAAGAAGCCCAATCCTTTTTCGCTCCACAACACGCCCCCCCTCACCCCCCCTCCCCCCTAGGTTAATTACTCTTGGGAAACGCTGCCTAAACCCAGGCCGTGGACAGTACGAAGTATGGGCGACGGTGACTGTTGTTTTTGGTCATTTTTTTCTTTCCTGTTTTTTCCCCTAGTGACACCGTGAATCGTGTCTTGTCCAACCACACACACAATTCTTCTCCCCTCCTGATGCGCTGGTGCTTGAAGTCCAGCCCCAGCGCGGACTGTCCCTGCACCTTATCTGCCCCAAGAGCCAATGCCGTCCCTCTGTCGTCTCTCATCTGCAGAAGCAGTTTGCCCGTTCTCTTCTTTGCTGCTGGTCCAGTGCGCTGTGAGACCTGGGGTCGGTCAGGTTTGCCTTTGGGTGGCAAGATCGGGATGGATGAGCGCCGACCGGGATACTACATTCTTTCACGCGTAAAAAGAAATCAAAAAAATAAGAGAGACAGTTCAACAGTGACAATCTGACAATGTAACAATAGGTACAGCCCAGAAAAGCACATGCATCGAATGATGCAGGCCCTCCCTTCACAGCACGCCCCCACCCCCCTTCCCCTGTCCTTGTAGAACCCGGCTGCACGGGCACAACGCCAACAGGCTTGATTACCTGCCCTCCTTCCACCTTGGATCTACCTGCCGCTCCCGTCGTTTTTCGCTTGCCAGCCCGAGAGGAACATGCCAGTAATTATTAGAAGCTGCTTTTTCCTTTATTAATCCCACACTTCCTCCGCACCTCGTCCCCTCCCTCCCATTCTCTCAGACATCAAACAAGCAAAACGTACTGCGACATTGCGCCACCATTTCATTCTCTCCGTCTCTCCCTAAAGTGTACACGCCAAACCAGGGCAGGCATACGGATACAACAAGAACAGAAGCAGCAGCAAAAAAAAAAAAAAGACAAGACAACTAGACGCTTCATCGGCACATCTATATTCTCCGGCTCTTGCATCATCACTCAAACTACCCTCAGATCCCGTTGGGTCGCCTCTTGACCTTGTACCTATACGTCCGACCCGATCGTCCCCATCTCTCGCTCACACATAGCCGCCCCAAAGCTTGCCTCGGACCCAAATCATCAAGTCGCACCTGAAAGCACGCCAGACTCGCCATCCGGCCTGGCTTGAAATCAGCTGCATTCACTTGTCCTTCCCCAGACCTACCTAGGTTACACACCAGATTTGCTATATATACATACTTGCCTATTCGTACGTTGCCACTTCTGCTGCTCTCTTTCATCTTTTGCTACATTCACTGTTGCTGCCTTCCTATACCATACAAGCATTACTCGTCATTGAACTTGCATTCAGACTCTTGCCTAACATGTCTACTCTTTTTCAGCCAACTCCTATCCGCTTCATGATGCCTTCCGCTCAAGCTTCCGCGCCCTTGATGCACGCTCCCCAGAAGAGCGCCCTGCGAGTCCCCTCATCGCAAGATCTTTTCACCGGCATCAGCGCATCTCTGTCTTGCACCACTTCCAAGCGACCTGCCACGCCCAACCATCAAATCTTTGAATACGACTATACCGTTCCCGCACCGCCACCGCCCAGTCCCGTCAGCTTTCGACCGGACTGCTGGCCCAAGCCTGCCCGCTCATAAAAGGGCTGAGCGCAGTCGGACACCATGTTGTCGTCAACTTTTTTCTCTTCTTTACTCATTCATTACGAGCGTTGGGGACGATCCGTCCCATCTACAAACAGCTGGCAATCACACAGACAGCCAAATTTGGTTTTAATATGGTTCACTCATCGGCGTCACGGGGCATATCAAGGCAGAAAGATGGTATTTTAAACAAGAAGAGCAGTTGCAGGTGCATCGGCTCGAGCAGACTGTGCAAAGGCTGCGAGTTACAGGGACCACAGATATCATGTACGAGCAAATGTACGCAATAAGACAATCGAGATAATTGGCAGGTACAGCGATGTGATGTGCTCGTGATTATGTCCAATTCGAGACTCGGGAAATGTCGGTCAACTACGTATGCGTAACGCCCATGTGAGCTTTGCGGCAGCTGGTGATAAGAGCTGCCGTTGACGGAGTCGTGAACCAGATTAGGTGAAGCACTCCACTTCCGATATGATCCGATGCTGTAGTGGTGGTGGTGAGCTGCGCCAGCCAAACCTTGTGCCGCCGCCATTGCGGTCGCTAATTTTACAAGTGCTGCGCATTAACAAGTGCAAGTGCTGAAATCCAACAAGCGCTGCTCGGGCTGACCTTCACATGTCAGCCTGTGAAACGGCACATGGCGATCTCGGACGGAATCGCATTCTACGATCAGACCCCTTCGGCCGGGGTAAAAACGTCAGATGCTGCAGGGTACCAGCCGTCCTGTTAAGCATCATGTTCACAGTATCTATAAGTCGGGTTTCTGGTTATATTCGGCGGGCAAACGGAACATTAGATGAGTGCTGAGAGCATCTACGTAGCCACATATGATGGATGACACACTCTCACATGAAGATTCAGAGAGCAGCTGCGCGCCTGTCAAGTCTGCAAGTCAAATACTTAAAATATGAATGTAATCCTTGACGAGATTTCGAATGTTAAGTAATAATTAGCAGAGATGCTGTACATAGTTTTTGCACCATGGTGACGGCCCGGCCCACAACCACAACACCACTCAACGCGCCACGCACCAGCAAAGAACGCGTCGTCGGCGCGTCGCGTCCCGCCTCGTCATACTAACCGTCGCCTCCCAGCCAACCGATGAGGCTCCGCTTTCAATTTCGCGAGACAATTGCCCTTGTACAATCCCTTGTGCGATGCATCAATCTCTTCACATTGCAAAGCTTCAGATATTTGAGATTTAACTGAACTTTCCGTGCATTCATCTGCGACAAGCAACTGCGTCGACGCTGTCCTTGATAAAATTAACATTGCATCGAATATACTCGCACCTGCTTTGCACACCAACCTGTCTAGTATTCTGTCGTTCTTGCTCAATTCTCGGTCTGGCCATCAAAGATGCCTCGAGTAGCAAGAGCGAGAGCAGCCCACGGGGTCAAGCAGGGCCCTGCTCCTTCTATCGCCGCCTTCACCCGCATCTCCAAGAGCCAGAGCTTGTCCAACGCAACTGCCAAAAAGACCACTGTCGCAACTGGCCTGACGACGACCACGACGACTACGACCACGACCACGCCATCCAAGAAACGCAAAGCTTCGTCGCCTCTGGACAACGACGCCGGCGCGTACACCCGCCGCAACATTTCATTCAGTCCAAGTGATGAGGACGACGATGAGCAAGCTGCCCACAGATACGAGCATGTCGACATTTCCCAGCGCAAGAAGCGCGCCTGCAGACGCACAGAGCCCGCATTCTCTACAAATTCACAAAAGACTCAGGCCAAGGCGGCCTCTCCACCAACAACAACCACCAAAGGCAAGGTAGTCGCCAAGGCTCCTGCTTCGAGGAAGGATGCTGTACACCGCCCGACCGCCTCCACCGTCATCAGCAAGTCGCGGCAGGAGGCCAAGACTGGCCAGTCAAGGATCGAGGCCTTTTATACCAAGCAGCAGCAGGCCAAGTCAGCGGCCGACGATTGCATCGACGCCACCTTTCCGCCGCACCTCGCGGAGCTGGTGCGTCTGCACCGAGCATTCATCAAGACGGTTGTCATGCAGATGGCACATAGCCGCAGCAATGTGCCCCTCGACATTCGCGAACTGGCTCCCAACATTTCGCGCTCGTGGCGCAAGCGTCAGGTTACAGTTGAGGATGTTCGTCGGTGCGTGGCGATTGAGTCGTCCACGCAGCAAGGTGGCATCCAGTCGCCGTTTATTGTCGCCGACTACGGCAAGGGCAAAGTGTGCGTTGAGCTGCGCGCTGAATGCCATGGTGACGCTCTCAACCAGACACAGCTGTGCAAGCAGTTTGAAGAAAATCTCAGGAACATGTGCATGGAAAAGGCCACCGATCGAATGACGGATGTTGATGTGACGCTTGAGGGGCTTTCACTGGCAGAGCTTCCCCAAGCTGACCTGACAGACATGAATACGGGCGCCAAGACGGCGGCTCTACTGGCCAAGGGGCACAAGGCCTTGTTGGAGTTGAAAGGCGGCATCGCAGCAAAGCAGCACGAAAAGGAGATCAAACAGCAAGCCGCGGCGACGCCGCTTCTCAACACGGATGGGACCAAGATGGGCCTCCTCGACCGCATCCGACACAAGCAGCTGGCTGCCGCCAACGCGCCGCTTCCGCCGACTGGCCCCGAACTGCAGCGCCGCGCCGCGCTGAACCGAGTTGTCGACGTCGCATCAACAATCTCCATGCTCAGTCTCTCCAACCCCGCGTCTTTGCCCCGCCAAGCCTTTACCATGGTTGCCATTGTCGAGAAGCTACGAGACTCGCTGCGCGTACCCACGTCCAAGGAAGAGGGCATCGAGTGCATCCGTTTGATTGCAAAGGACATTGCGCCCGAGTGGCTCCGGATCGTGACCATTGGAGGGAGGGAGAATGTGGTGATTCAGAGAGGCGGCGAGCCAGTCAGCCGCGTGATTGAGGAACGAGTGCAAAAGCTCATGTAAGCGCACGAGTTATGAGCAGTCATGTCTGGCATATTGAACGAGGAAGATGTGGGCTGAAGAAGCAAGAAAATAATGGGGTTTGTTCTGTACCATTTTGCATGAAGCAAGGCGTTTGAGATTGTTCTTGTTGTTAATTCGAGATTGGAGTTGGGATATACCAAGGCATAGCTTAGTTGTTTGGAATAGAGAATGATGCAATTCTTCAGGTCCACGGTTCTCTGTCATGCAAGTGAGTACTATAGTCATACGGCATTGTGATAAGACAGAGGCGAGTATGCGAGCACACTAGATTGGCCGACACTCAGTCAGACCAGTCGAGATGTTGGTCATGAAGCGATATGAATCATGGCCATTGCATAAGCTTAATCCGGCATCTGATGTCGGCATAGCGGAATTCTAACGGTTCAAGGCCTGCGCGTGTCGTAATTCGACAAAACGGGCCTCACATCGGCTTCTTCGCAAACGGTGTGTCGTTCAGAGACGGCTACTTAACAGGTGTGTGGTGGGCGTCACCCACCGTTTTCGTCCGGGAATTCGCGGACTTTATTGGCTACCTTGCTGTCCCTGGATGTGCGAACAAGGAAGGAAAAAAACATCGGTCTTTTAGCCGGTGTAATTTTTTTTTTTTTCAAAGCATCGAAGCGAACCATTTTTTCTTCTTTCACTTTATTTGTTCTCGATTCTTATCAAGTCAGCCAACTAGTGGGATTGGCCCGGCACTTGGATGTTATCACCAATCGGCCCTGTTCCCATTTTGGAAACCCGAATGTGAGAGACAAACGTTGTTTGTGGTGTGAGTCCCGGGGCTG